AGTAATGGTAATTCTCATTATTGTCTCAGTCCTTTGGGCAGGTGGTGAAATTCTAGAAAAGGTTCTGCCGTGAATATGCTACAAATTCAAAGACACTGAATATTCTTGCAAGCACAGTGAAGTCCATCATTAAGAAGTGAAAGGTGTATAATAATACCCCCACACTGCCTACTGTAGATCAAGCTGGCCCTCCATGCTGAACAGCTGAGCAACGAGGAAAGTGATTGAGGCTGCCATGAGGCTGACTAAACTGCACAGGTAATTGGCTGAGATGGGAGAAAATGGCCATGAGTTCAAGCTGACCTGCATGGCAGAGTGGCAAGAAGGAAGCCATTGCTACAGTACAAACAAAAATCTCAAATCCTGCATGGGGTTTGCAGCAAACCATTTAAGTGATACTGAAAACATTTGTTTTATGGTTAGAAGACACAAAATTAGAATGTTCTGGTTTAAAGGGGAACTGCAATGCTATTTTTATATTTCAGGGTTAGAAAGAATCAACATTGTTGAGTGCATTTCAAACCACAATAAAAGTCAAATGTAGACAGGAACTTCCAGAAAACTTCCAATTTACATCACAAAATAGATGAAATTTCCAGGTATGTGCAGAGCCATATTCTGTGATTTAGAACAAGGCAACAGAATTTCTGGAAACGTGTTACAGCCCTATGCCATTGTAATCAAACAAGCTTGTGAATACATTTCTTTTAATCCAATAAAAATACTGTTCTTGAATTTGAGTTTTGACAATAAATACTACTCGCTCTGCATGCAGATCACATTGGAACATTTCTGCGGTGAAATGTCTGCTGCACAACCTGTGCTTATTTGTTCCTACATCACATTGCATAAGCTACAGTGACTAGTGAGCAGGAAGGGCCACATCATGTCACAATTTGTGGGAACGGTAATATGAATTTATGACTACATGGCAACTTACAGTATAGTGCTTTCACAAAGTGACAAATCTTGTAAAAAATGTGACACAAATGTGCTTAACTGTTCTAAAGCCTTAGAACTGGGATGAAAATGAATCTCTTGCAAGTCTCACACAAGGCCAGAACCCTGGCTGACACATCCTACCCTGCCCTTGGTGGTACTCAGCCAGTTGCTGTACTGATGATTATTAGGGAATCCCCTCACAGTCGGCTAGTGACGTTACCCAGGCTCAAACCCGCAGTCACTGGGTTTAGCCTGGGCTTGGAAGAGGGGTACCTTTACCAGTGAGATGCTCAGAAACCCCATTACATAGATCTCTTAACAGAACTTGCCTGAATGCTTTCAGCTATAGCTCTGCATCCTGCTTAGTTCATGCTGGAAACTAAACAGGCTGAAAAACCTGTAGTCTTTCAGAGAAAGTAATAAACAAAGCTATTGCAGTGGGAAACTATATACAAGGCTCATTCATTTGCTGTACCATACAGTCATGTACTGGAGTAGAAAAGTCCTCTGTTATGACTTGTTTAAAGGTTGGTATCATTGTTGCAATTGTTACCTGTAAGTTAATAATGTGATTGGCACTCCTCTTGATTAATATACGTAGTTGGCCGGGTGCTGAAGATGAGTGGTTAATAAATAGACATACATCTGCTGTGTTTAAACAAATGACACTGCATTGGCCTGTGTCAGGTTCTATTTATTGATTTAATTATCTGAAAGGTACTGATGATGTAGTTAATCTGAAACAGAATACCGAAAGGGAAGAAGTCCACCTTCGTGAGTAGAGGCAGTATACTGTAAATCAGGCCAGCAGCCATTAGTCTTCTGTCCGAGAGCTGTGTCTGTTTCTGACTCCGCATGGCTGACAACGTCAGGTTTTTGTGTTGTGCCTGAGGCTGTGTCACAGATGTATAGATCTCTACATCATTGTGTTAATGAGTGTGTCACAGCGCAGATGGAACACAAAAACTCAGTCAATAAGGTGTGATGGCCAGAGTGCCTAGTCTCTACAGACTCCACAGGTGGTGATTGTTGACGACCTAACTGCAAAGACACATGCTTGTCACCGTGCAAAAGATCTATGGAAGTATGTCATTCTGTTTTGGTCTTCTACTTGATGTTGTCTTACACTTGTCTTAGCTCAAGGTCCAGACCTGACCTATGCAAACAGGACTGAATCCCTTCAATTGCAGAAAACGTCAGGATTTGACTGCCTGTGATACAGAGACCATTCATGTTTTGTTGACTTAACTAGACAACAGTTTGAATTTCTCTAAATCTGAGACATAAGCAAGTTGTGACATCCAAGACAAAATTGGAGAGGAATTCTCCAAAAACATTTGAGGTCAGTTACTTTCAAGAATTTAATTTACCCTGAAGTGAGTTTTGCATTGGACATACTTGTTGTGCACACTGGGAATTTGATTAACACTGCTTGGGATTTGGTATCTCAGCTTTGCCCATGTGCATCAGTTATGATAATACTGAAGAGAAAGTTCCCTGTTAGCAGGATTGTGGACAGTGTCTTCAGTTTGGTTCTTTAGTAAAGGTACCATGATGGTTTTGCAACGTTACAGCATAGCAAGGCTATCATTCCATTTTTAACAATGAAACACCAGAGACAGATAACTAGCTGCCAATCTTTAACAACTTTTTAACTTTTAAAATGATTTGTAACAGGCTGA